CGGTACCTCTTTATTGTACAAAATAGGTACTATTATGCCTCCCGGCCAAAAGGAGAGCGTAAAACAATCACCAAAACTATACACAGGAAGACAAAAACTGTCGAGACTGGACCTAACAAACTCGCCCAATGCACGATGAAATCGCCAAATAGCAGCAAAGCCCAAAATATGCATACACTCACGCTTGCTGCGTACAGCGCTCCCCCGGCCCGGTTTTAGGCCGGTATTCATAGTCCGTTCTTATATCCAAGATCGTCTTAAGTGTGGTCTTGGGTCGTCTTAAGATCCCATTCAACCAATGAAATGGCCGCATAGTATCTTAAGATCGTACTTAAGACGATCTTGAATATAAGAACGGACTATGAATACCGGCCTTAAAGATCCCTGAAAGAAATACGCCTTGGACATAAAGATAAAAAACACGCTATGTCCACAAATTATGGTTCCGTTCCGTGCTATGTGCACAAAGTGTCGGTAATACATACAGCGTGACAAGAAAAGATGATTGCGTCGTCTTTGTCTCTCTTGCACCGTATGTGTGTAGCGTCCGTGAAGGCACATACCGATATGTTGAGTACACGGATGCGATTGTTGGGAGATAATATTAGACAAGAAGCAATAATCGCGTGCTATCCTTGTTCTTCTAACGTATCACTTTACGGCCGAGATACGTCCTGAAATTTCAGGCCTTACTTTCTGGCCTCTCATGGCAGAAAGCAGTAACGCAACACGGCTAACAGGCGCCCATTTTTTGAGAGTTTTATATTTGCGTATATACATATGTGCATATACATGTTTAAATTATAGTTAAAATAAAACATGCAATTAAATATTGTATAATGATCAATAATAATAGTAGGATAATAGATAACAGAGTGAACAAATATATAATCTTATTAAAAAAACCTCACAAAGATAAAAAAATACGCTAAGTACATATTTAAAAAATAACTTATAAAATATTTTCCCCAAGAAAAATAAAAAACATCTAAAAGATAAAAAATTAAAATTAAATATGAAATCAATAGTTAACTAACCAAGTACTTAGAAGCAATTCAGTTTGTAAGAATTTGTAATTTGAAATAGTATTTGTCACAAAATTAAACTTGTATTTATAGAAATGTTATAAACAGATTCTTTCCATAAAATTAAAACGCATTTTATTTTTATTAACAGAAACCTGATTTTCAAAATAAGTTTAATACAAATAAAAAAATTTAACGATACCTTTACGAACGGTCTCGCGGGCCGACCGCATTACGAGGCTCGGCGCCTATGGCGCCCCTAAGCTCCCACACCTGTCACGGCCCCACCGTGGGGACCGCCCCACCACGCGTCGAATCGCGTGAATGGGAGGCCGTCCGCCGGGTATATAAGGCAACCTGGCGAGTGTATCGGTACCAGTGATGCCGGATTCGGAACTCTGCAGTATGCCACAGCATGTGGAAGAGATAGCGCACACAAGGGAAGGGTGTGCGCTCGGCGCTCGGCCAGCTTCGGGCAGTAGAAGAAGACAGGCATACAATCCGCTGTCTTTTTCTTTCCCGAACTATAGCTATAGCTATGACGCGTTGCTTGCCACCAGCCTCGAGATTTCGGGATCTTGAGAATCATATACGTTAGCGGCAGCTTGACTCGTCTAATAAATCACGCGGCTCTTCTTGCATTTAGCTTGATTATTTTACAACTACACCATAAAAATTACTAATTATATAAATATTCTAATTACATTGAAATTTATTCCGTATATAAAAAATATAAACTAATTAAAGAAATAAACAATAGAAAGAGCGTAAATGTGATAGAAATTCATTCAATTTTACTAAATAAGTAAGCTAGTTTAAGCTTTTAGGTCCCTTAATATTAATATGTATAAATAAAACATTTTTTAATGATTATTTCAAATTTGTTTATTTTGTATTCTATATATCTTATATACCTTAATTATTATAAATAGTTATGGGTCCTCCTTGTCTTGATCCTCCCTGTCTCCCTCCTCGGTAACTATGATTTCGACCTTTATTAAAATAATATCTCTGATTATACCAACGAGCCCGCGAACGCCCGCGACCTCGGCTTCTTCGATCATCTAAAATAAATAAAGTATATTACATTTAATACATACTTATACATGCATGCATGCACACATGCACACATGCATACATGCATACATGCATACATGCATGTGTGCATGCATGCATGTATAAGTATGTATTAAATGTAATATACTTTATTTATTTTAGATGATCGAAGAAGCCGAGGTCGCGGGCGTTCGCGGGCTCGTTGGTATAATCAGAGATATGCATACATGCATACCTGCATACATGCGTACATGCATACATACATACATACATACATACATACGTGTAAGTATGTATAAGTATATGTATATATACAGGGTGACTCACAATGACCGCCCACTAAGTACATAGCGTTATTCCTTACCAAAAAGTGAGGCGAAAAGTTCTGAACCGTTTTTTTATAACGCTTAATAAAGGAGTTATTATTGAGTAAAGTCGGGTCAATCAGCGCCAACCTTTAGCCGGACGCACGTCAGTGAGCCGCGCGCCTGATAGTGGGCGCCGCCGAGTACTCACGTACGTTACCAGGCGCGCGGCTCACCGACGTGCGCCCGCCTAAAGGTTGGTGCTGATTGCCCCGACTTTATTCAGTAATAACTCCTTTATTAAGCGTTATAAAAATGGTTCAGGACTTTTCGACTCAGTTTTTGATAAGGAATAACGCTATGTACTTAGGGGCGGTCATTGCGGGTTACCCAGTATATTTGTTAATGTATTAAAAAATTGATATAAAATATACTTTTTAATTGTGACTGCTGCTGTTCTTGTTGCTGTTGCAACTGCGGCTGTTGTTTTTGCTGCTGCGACTGCGGCTACTGCTGTTGTTGCTGCTCCTGTTCCAACAATTAATTGATCGTTATTTGCTGCTCTTCTAATAACTTTTGTTGTTGCTCCAATTGTTGTTTTAACTCTTCTATAGAAGATGATTTAAATTCCTCTGCATCTTCTAACAGCATTTTTTCCGTCCGTTCACTCAATTCTTCTGCGAAAATATAAGAAACAAATATGTGGTGAAACTCTCGAAGTTAGGCCTATACGCCGATAACCTTGACCTTGACATATGTTGTCAAGGACATGATCCTGAGTAACTTTTCCTTATAACTTAATCGGCGGTCATTGTTTACTAAAAAGTTATTAACAAATAAAGTTTGAAAATATACCCGTTTCGATAAATCTTTACATTAGCATCATCACCTCTAATTTGCCTCAACATTTACATAGATTACAAAATATACTGATTTAAAACTAAAAGTTGGTTTGGGTTAGGTTATATCTTCTGGAAGTGGAGCCCCCCCCCCCCCCGTAGGAGGGCCGGAACCCACTGCCTCCACGCATATACTTTACAACGCGAAACGAGATTAATCCACAATTTTTATGTGGATGGGAAAGTGTATGCGTGGATGCAGTGGGTTCCGCCACCCCATCCTTCCGGGGGGCTCCACTTTCGGAAGATATAACCTAACCCAAACCTATTTCTGATTTAAAACTAAAATTTGGTTTGGGTTGGGTTATATCTTCCGGAAGTGGAACCGCTCCGTAGGGGGGGGGGGGCAGAACCCACTGCGTCCACACATACACTTTCCTATCCACACAATAATCGTGGGGTGGACCTCGCTTCGCGTTGTAAAATATATGCGTGGACACAATGGGTTCCGCTCTCCCTACGGGTGGGCTCCACTTCCAGAGGATATAATCTAATCCAAACCTATTTCTAATTTAAAGCTAAAATTTATGCTTCTGCTTGTACTTATATTAATGCTTCATAACTTTTGTTTGTAGATCAATTTTTTAATAAACAATGAGCGCCAACTAAAACCTTTTGTATGTTACTTAGGGTAATAATCTTGACCACATATGTCAAGGTCAAAGTTATCGAAGCTGCCTCCTCTATATTGCATATAACCAATATACCAATTACTTCCTTTAGCACTGACACAAAGTGACAAATTTCTCAAACTTTTTTTGTTTATAATTTTTTGATAAACAGTGACCGCCGATTAAGTTATAAGGAAAAGTTATTCAGGGTCATGTCCTTGACAACATATATAAAGGTCAAGGTCATCGGCGAGGTGTCCGTTAATGTAAATAATTACCAAATTTTTTATACACATGTACAATATGTGTATAGTTACAAACTAGCCAACATATATTTTCAAAATTTTAACAATTGTTCTAAATATAATTCTCACTGTTGTTAATAGCAGATATTGGGAAATTAATGAATATGATTACGCCGGTATTAATGGAAATTACATGGATTTATTCGTATAAAAGTACACTACGGCGAAAATGATCTTACATGTACGGTATTTCGGGAACTTCTGATCAAGTGCGCGGATTGGAATGCAGTCGCTCATCGAAGTGTTGATCGCGGGTTATAAAAAGATACAATTCGGGGTACGCGGAGATAACAGAAATTCCGCGTATGCAATACGCAGTCAGCAACTTGATATTCGATTCTAAGAACTATATGCTGGTGACTTTAAAACAGACGCCGCCGCCTCAGACGCATAGCCTTGATAATATATTGAAATGTCTATCTCAATATCTCCAACACTCCCACTTTAGATTGACATGACTGATATCCTTACGTACTAATTAATCTCTTTGGTTACGCCTAACATTTCCCTTAATTTCTCAAAATGCATTTTGCTCAACGGCTTAGTACATATATCAGCTTTCTGTTTTTTGGTATGAATATAATGTAACTCAAAAATGTTTGCTTCATA